TTTGCATATCACAAACAATAAATTTATATAGTTCGTGGTAATCAATTTTAATGGGTAGGAAAATTAACTTCATGTTTTGATGGTAGATACAAACGCACACAGAATGGGTTCCTGATGAGTTTGGCAAAACACAATTTAGGTCTTAAAACACAAAACTTTGAAAAACCTAACTTTACATGTGGATATAGAATTTTAAATGAGACAAATAACTCTTTTAAGCTTGACAAAAGTAGTCGTTTTTGCATATGGACTTTCCAACTAACACTTACAAAATCCTTTTGACCAGGCATCTGGCGAGAGTTTTCATCATTTTCATAAAAAATTTTCACTAAAGTATTTATTTGATCAGGGAGCATTTTACCTCTCTTAGTTTGTGGAACTGCAAGAACTTCTTCCTTCTTTGCTAAAGATCTAGATTTTATTATTAGATAATTTAAAACACTCAAATACTCACTAGCTGCTTCAATTGACCATTCTCATACGATTTGCAAATGGCTTTCCGTGAAGCTTGACTGGTGACACACCAATTATACTGAGACAATCAGAAAGTTCTTGTCTGTTTTTATTTATATCAGCTTCTTGTTGAACACTAAATATGTTTTCTTTATTTATACTTTCATTTGTGTAATCATCAGCAATATTAATTTCAGTGGAAGCTTTTAATTTGACTAAGCAATTTGTACAAATTTTTTGACCAGGTACAATATTGATCCTGTTGTTTAAAGCTTATGGTTCTTGACTTCTCTAAGAGATGCTAAATTAAAAAATATAACTTAATAAAGTAAAATGTGTCTACTATTAACAAACATAAAGAACTTAAAATTATGACAAATTTACTATTATAAAATTTATGACAAGCTTTACTAACCTTTGCATGGTCTTTTGTGAACTAACAGTGGATCACAGCATTTATTCTGAAACACAGGGAACTTCTCAAGATAGAACTTTTGATGATGAAAACATAAGTCAATAATCAAATCAGAAGAAACACCAGACCTTAGCGCAACTAAATTTTGCTCATCTGGAGCTAAATCTTGAAAAAAGTTTACTCCAATGTGGTTTGTAAATGTTAACTTGTGACAATTTGATTTTAAAATCAATCCAACTGAGCATTGTGATGTTCCAGCCATTATAAAAATATTTAATTTCAATATTTTTTTTTCTAAAACTATTATTAAATAGATAATATTCTTGTATGAGTATTATAATTAAAATTCAAATGTTAAAATCAATTGCTCCATTTAATTAATACAATAAAAAACCAGAAATTCATATTTATTTTAAGTGTAATCATACGATTAGACTTATTTAGTTTAAAATAAAAATGAATTTTTGGTTTCTTGTTTAATTAATTAAACAGAGCAACTGGTTCTAACATTTGAGTATAATACTTATGTGAGAAATCATTTTTTTTTTGTGAGAAATCATTTTAGTTATAATCTTTAAATGGAGATTATAACCAAAACGGTAAATAAAAGTGCAAAAATAAAATTGCAAAAATAAAACAATAATAAAATAGATGTGTGCATCAAAAAACAATGAAATAATTTTTGCTGCTTACAGGCATTTATATATAAACTATTTTTGTAAAGATTTAAAGTGAATAGATCAATTTTCTGCAATTAATCTTAAACTAGATATGTTTACTAAAAAATTATTGTTAAAAACCCGATTTGCATTGCAAAGTTTTTAATCAAATATAAGATCTAATAACTTTAGGTAATGATTTTTGATTTCTTTATTCAAAAGTTGCTATACCTAACAAATTTTGTAAACGAATGGTTAATGTAACTGTGTATACTTTAACATTTTAGTGTTGCTATAGACGTTGCTAAGAGAGCGGAGAATAAAAAAATTTTAAAATTCTTAAACTTCAAAGACCCATAACTCTTAAAATAATGAAATTGCCTCCAAATTGTTTATGATTATTACTAACGACATTATTAACTGCATTTGTGCCAAAAATCAAGTATTTCTGAGATGGTGGGATATTTCTAGGGATGTACCGAAGCTAAAATTTTGCCAAAGCCAAAGCTTCGGCACTATATATGCTTAAAATTTAATCAGCATTTAGATCAGCAGGGGTGTAAAATAAGGGGTGTAAACCAAAACTAAGGTACTTGACTAATAATATAGAAAAATCGTATAAAAATGAGGACGCCAGTCAGGGTTGCTGTCCCAGGCAGGGCAAAAGCTCTCAGCGCCCCTGTTTGAAAGTTTCTCATTATGTCGTTTCTGATACTTGACCGCACCGAGCATTTTTTTTTTAAACTTAAGCTTTTTTGAAACATTCTCCCCAAATTTTCCTACTTCTAGTTCTACTTTTTCTGTGTGCAAACCATATTAATGTTATATAGCATCTTTTTATGTGCTGTATATTTTATTTTTATTTCTAATGCACCTTTGGTTAATGGAAGTGGTTAAAAATCTCTGAACATTACTAGAGTAAATTTATCTTTTGCACTTGATCACTCTTTCTTTAAATAACCTAGTTGTATCTACGACATAAAAAATCTTACAAACACACTTTATCTTTTTATTGCTATTTATTTCAATATCTTTTTTTTACTTCTCTTTATTCATTAAACCAACAATTTCTAAACTAAAAAAAACCCAAGTTAAGACCATTTTGTATTCCACTACAACTGTTGTGAACCTGCTGCAAAAAAAAAGTACAAATGATAGATTTCTCTCTAACTTCTTTTTTACACACTTTTAAGTTGTTTTTTTTTGAATATTTTTACCTTTACACTACATAACATTTTCTTTAGCTTCTTTTAATCTTTTACACTCTGAAATCTTACTATTGATTCTTCTTCTGTCTCTGTAATGGATAAATCTGCATCAGTATCAGAAATTAAATATTAAATATCTGTGATAAAAGCATCCATAATAATCTAACAACTCTGTAGAGTGAGCTTTAGATAAAATAATTAATAGAATACTTTATAAATTTTTTATTTATAATTATATTATTATTTACTTTATATTTATAAATAAACAGGGACTGAGCAGGCTGATATTTATTTGATTTAAATTGTTTATATAATTTAAATAAATTTTGATGATAAATATAAGAGCTCAAAGTAATCAAAGCTTCAACCTTTAATTTATTTTAAATAAAATTTAAAAGTCTTCATAATATCATAAGAAGAAACCAGAATATAGGTTTACATGTTTAATATATAAATTCAATTTAGAAGTATTCATAATGTTAATAAAAGAGCAAGGATAATTATTATCATTGTTTTTCTTTTTCTTTTAATTTATCTAGTTTTTGTTGACTTTTTTTTTCTTTTTTTATTCTCTTCATTTATATTTCATTTGCTTTTCTTCCTTTTTTGTTGTTGAGAACTTTTTGTTTTTTATGTGTCACTCCATTGACTATTTTGTATTTATATAAGTGACACCTAACCAATTTCTGTAAATTTACGATGAAAATTTGTAAATTTTTATTAATATGGTTGAATAAAATTTTAAAAAATTAAACATACACACAATTTAAAATAGTAGCAACGTATCTTTAATCTTCTTTAAAGAGAGATTACTAAGGTTTATCGGTCAAATGTTGAAACCAAATTTTGTTCTATTTGCGGTAATCCCACACAATAATTAATATGAATTCGTTACATAATACAAATTAAGGTTTTAAAAACTTTTAATTTGTTTTAAATTATAAGGTTTTTATTCTGCATAGAAATGCTGATTTAGTTTATCTAAAGTCACACTTGGAAGCCTTCAAAGTGTATGAGGACCTTTCCTAGTTTTATTATTATTTTCAAAATAATTTTACTTATTTATTATTATTATAAATAAGTATATTTATTATTATCCAATACAATCACATCAAATCCAACTTAATACGTGTTCACCGCAAAAACAAATTTTTGATAAATATATAAGTAACATTTCAGCAGATAACTGAATATATCGCAACATTGAGGAAAATAACTAGACAAACAAAGATTTTTAGAGCATGAAAGTACACATACAATAAAATGATGCGGTTTTTTGAAATGTGAAGTCAAGCAAAAATGAGTTTTGATTGATGGAACTAGAGATAGTAGCTCGTTTGAGCAGTGACCATAATAGTATTTGTAGAAAAGAGAAAGAGATGCAATCTTACGGCGATGGGTAGAAAGAGCAGGTATAACTTACATTTACAACACGTTTTTGAACTTAGTCGAGAAGAGCAAGAGTATTATAAAAAAATATAATTTATCATTCCATACACGGATGAATAAGAGATTTGTAAAGAATGTAATTGTGAGTAAGGAAACTTTGGAAATTGATTTAATATGGTTTCCATAAGATGTTAATAGTGAATGATAATCCATAAAGGCGTAAAGTAAACGACTTAGTGAGAGTGTGATTATTTATTAATATAGAAATACAAACAATATTGCGATAATTGTTTGCAGTAAATATCTGAGTTTTGATAATAAAAATAACTAAGAAATTAAGTTTTTTTTTATAACCTTTGTATTAACAGATACAATCCCTCAGTCTGAGCGCTGGTTTATTACTTTATGATAAGACAAGCTCAATTACCAGCCTTGTCAAACGCTGAAAGATGCTATTTACTAAAAAAGCAAGTTGGAGCGAGAGGTTACCACTAACTAAAAACTTATTCAGTATTAAAAATGAGTTGTATTAGTAACACATGTCTTTCAACAAAATAGTTGTATGTTATTCAACTTTTATAAATATCTTTCCACATTATAAAATTTGAGATTTAATAAGTTATTTGCTTAATTTTGTATTTAAGAACCTATCAACCTAGTTATTAATCTCTTCTAATGATTTGTTATAAGCCTTTAACCTTTACTAAATAATATGGTATAGTTGTTTACTCGTTTAACCTTTTGAAATTAAGTTGTTTATTCTTTGAAATATCTGCATCTTTATGTTATTATATATATATATATATATATATATATATATATATATATATATATATATATATATATATATATATATATATATATCTTTTATTTTAGAACAATGTTGTATTAAAATGCGTTCCAACTTGAAAGATTTGGTAGAAAATTCAAATAATGCTAAATTAATTGATCTTGTAAAGATGGCGTTATTAGAATAATTGAAATATTACATTAATTTAAAGTATATTATTTAATTTGTATTTAGAATAAAAATGTACCAATCTTATAATAAAATTTATGTTAAATTTGTTCAAAATAAATGTATGAAGTACTCAAGATCTCAACTATGTGTCATTAATAACTATAGAAAAAGCGTAAATATTTTCTTTGTTTTTTTGTGTTTGTTTTTTTGTCTTTTTAACAAATAACTTTTTCAATTTTTTTACCGTGCTTTTTATCTCGTACCAGCGATCGCGGCAATTCGAGGTCAAGGAGTTCTTGTCCCACACGCACACTTTTTTTCTAACTTAAAAAAATATAATATAAAATATGAAAGCATATAAAAAGTTTCACATCACATCCCTTCCACCTTAAAACCTACACCGCGATCCTTGCATACCAACAAATTATACTTTTTTACGGCTGATAATAATTTTACTTTATTACATTTATGACGCAACTTTTTAACGGATTAGATTTTAACTTGCAATACTTTGATATTAAAACATTTAAAACGCAGTTAAAAACAGTTGTAAAAAATTTCATGGTGATACACATCAATATCAGAAATATAAATGTAAATATAGGCAAACTTATTTTAGAATCCAATTTTTATTTAAACATGGTTTGTTTTACAGAATCATGGTGTGTTAATGAGTCATCTCAAGAAAATTTAAATTTTTATATTCCTGATTGCAAAATTATTTTATTTGAGAGAAAAATGCTCAACAGGAAAAGAGAATGACCGCGATATTAAAATTACAGAAGACTTCTTGGGTCTCCAACTCAGATAGTGAGGTTCTAACAATTCAAATGATAATTAAAAATTTAAAAAATATTACAGTTTCTAATTGTTATAGACTAACTGGTGGCGATATCATTCACTTTTCAAATTATTTACAACGAGTCTTTGTCAAAAACAATTACGAACGAAAAAAATTATTCTTCGTTGGTGACTTTAAAACATAATGAATACCCTAATGCTAAAATTTTTTTGACAATATGTTTCGACATGGTATTTTCCCAATCATTAACAAACTAACTCGCGTTACAACAATCACGAACAAACAAATTCGTGTTAATAAACTTCCACTGTTATAGATAATATTTAAAAAAATTCTTTCCCAGAAAAGTTCCTAAAAATAGGAGTGATTAAAACTGATATATCGGATCACTTTTCAATTTTCTTTTTGTTGTTGTTGAAGGTGCAATTAAAAATTTAAAAATCAACATTTTTTGCCTAATTTTAAAGAATCTTTAAGAAATAGAAAATTCATTTCAAAGTTATTTTAGTGGCTTAAGGAGTTCACAATGCCAGAATCTGGCAACGATATTAACGATGAGCGAAAAATCAAATAAGAGTTTATTTAGATGAATTTTGTTTTTAGCTCTCAACCATAAGTTATGTTTTGAAAGTTCTAAGATTACAATTACAAAGAGGTCACTGCTTGAGCTAAAAGAATAAAACAGAATTGTAGCATTTGCAAAAGTTACGCAATCTAACTTTGACGAGACTATGAGAAGGTTGCTAACATAAATCAAAAATAGAATAGAAGCCAGAATGACTTCTAATAATATCACTTTCTTATTGTCATTGCTTGAGCTAAAAATCAAATATGGTGGGGCCCATATTTGATTTTTAGCTCAAGCAATGACAATAAGAAAGTGATATTATTAGAAGTCATTCTGGCTTCTATTCTATTTTTGATTTATGTTAGCAACCTTCTCATAGTCTCGTCAAAGTTAGATTGCGTAACTTTTGCAAATGCTACCAATCTGTTTTATTCTTCTAGCTCAAGCAGTGACCTCTTTGTAATTGTAATCTTAGAACTTTCAAAACTTAACTTATGGTTGAGAGCTAAAAACAAAATTCATCTAAATAAACTCTTATTAAAAACAAAAACTTCGCCACCAATTGTACCAATTCTTAGTATAGGCAACATAATTATTGAACAAATCTAATCATCTACGTTTTTTAGTGTGCTATGTGACAAAAATTTATTATGGAACTCTCGCATAAATGCAATTAATACAAAAATCTCTAAAATAATAGGTCTTCTTTATAGTATAACTGGTCTTTAAATCAAGACTTTTTCTGCTATTCAAAAATTTTTCCTTTATACACAGCTATCTATTGCATACCAATACAGCTTAAGTAAGTACCCATAAAACTAAATTTATTTCTCTCTATAGACGGCAGAAACTCACTTCAAAAGTTTAAGATTTTATTAAGTAGAGGTATACCAATGCCTAATTTTGGCCCATGCATTAGCTTTGGCCATACAAACAGGTAAATTAGGTTTTTTTTTTTCAAATATAGTGCTAACTGTCAATTTTAACGCTTGCTATATATATATATATATATATATATATATATATATATATATATATATATATATATATATATATATATATATATATATATATATATATATATATATATATATATATGTATGTATGTATGTATGTATGTATGTATGTATGTATGTATGTATGTATGTATGTATGTATGTATGTATGTATGTATGTATGTATGTATGTATGTATGTATGTATGTATGTATGTATGTATGTATGTATGTATGTATGTATGTATGTATGTATGTATGTATGTATGTATGTATGTATGTATGTATGTATGTATGTATGTATGTTTGTATGTATGTATGTATGTATGTATGTATGTACATACATACATACATACATACGTATGTACAACGGTCTTGTAACAGAGTACCTCGGAAGTGCATTTAACCAGAGAGTTCAGGCCTCCTTCCTTACCGTAACGCGAAAATATGTCCAGATCTCGTTTCGAACCTGGACCTCCTGTTTATAAAGCAAGCGCTGTAACCACTGCGCCACGGCCGTACATATATACTATACATGCACACACATGTTTTTTAATATTTAGAGTTAGATTATTTTTACAACCTAATGTTTCTGTAATTTTTACAACCTAATCTTCCTGTAACTTTTACAACATAATGTTCCAGTAATTTTTACAACCTAATGTTCCTGTAAAATGTTTAATGGCGACAATATAAATAGCACACTTTTATGACCAGTTCGTTTAACTTTTTGATATCAATTTTTATGTTTTTATAGCAATTCTTGTTATTTTTTATAGTATCATCAATGTTTACATTTTTGAACGGTACTACTCATTAGTCTCTTATAACTATCGAAATTGCTTCTTTTGAGCTTTTTAGCAGTTGCGTTTAAATTATTTAGGTCATTTTAAATAGCATACATTAGCTTTTTCTTGAAAAAAAACCAAAGTTCTTGTAGTATATCAAAAGAAAATCATTATACTCAGTATTTTAAGGATAAACTTGTAATTCATTTTGAAAAAGTTAAGTTCTTTCAACTATGGGACGAAGTAAACATAGAACAAATGTCTTCCGAAGACAAGTGCAGGCATTTCTAGATCAAGAATTGAACAACTCTGAAATAGTTTAAAGATTAGATTGTTCTTGTAAAAATTTATCAATGATAATATTTTCTTTAACATTACTGGTTTATTAAGCAACAAAAAACGCAAATATCGCGAACGAAAGACAACTACCCCCTCCTCCCCAAAGAGAGAACGCAACCTTTGTCCATATTGCTAAGCTAAATCTCATGGCTGGCGCACCAAGAATTAAAAATCAAACCGCTCGAAATTTACAAGTCAATCTGTCTGTCAGCACTGTGAAAAACTGCTTACGCAAAACTAAGCTGTTTGGAAGAGTTGCCCGAAAAATAGCTATTGGTCTTTAACAATTGCAAAGCAGTACGTACACAAGGAGTTACGTTCTTAGAAAAATGTGCTTCGGTCTGACGAGACTAATTTTAGTTGCTTTAGATCGAACGGAAAACAATATACTTTTCGTCCCCAAAACCAAGAGCTCAACCCTCGGTATACTCTAAAAACTGTAAAACATAGTGGTGGCAAGGTGATTGTTTGGGGCATTTTTCATGATGTGGCGTGGGCCCGTTGCATAGAATTTAAGTGACAATGAATCAACACATGTAAAAAGAAATATTAGAAAACGTCATGTAGCCTTATGCCGAGAAAAATCTTCTTTTGGTTCGGAAATTATAACAAGACAACGACATCAAGCACACCGCCAAAAGTGTTGAAATGTGGTTAAACGCTAACAAGATTGATGTTTTGGCGCAACCCGCACATTTAGCAGACCTATATTCGATAGAAAATTTGTGGAAGGAAGTTGACAGAAACATAAATTGATCAACTGCAACAAATTTAGACCAATTTGAATCGAAATAAAGGCTGCTTGGGACGCCATTACGCCTGAACAATGACAAAAATTGATCTTGTCAATGAGCTGTCGTTGTCAAACAGTTATTGACTCAAAAGGATACCCCACTAAATATTAATTTACCTCAAATAAAGTTTTCTTAATAATTTATACAAAGAACTTCTCTGATTTTTCTCGCAAAGGTACATAATAATAATTATTTAACAGGGTGTGCTATTTAAATTGCCCCTTATTCTGTTCCTCTAAATCATTTATATGATAAAACTTTTTTTTAACCTTGTTAATTTATTTTTTTACTCAGTAATGTTATCTTTTAAACTAATATTTTATTAGGCTGAAAAAGTTTAAATCTCAAAAACTCAGATCTCTGAAAAATATATCATTGCATATTAAACATCAATATGTGCTATTTATTTTGTCGCCACTGTATATGTATATGTAGTTGCCTAATAAAAATAGTTTGAAAGGCTCTTTTGATATAGATAAAAATAAACGTTTAAAGCGATTCGTAAAATTTGCAAAATAAAAATTTCAAGAAGAAGAACATCAGGTTGAAAATTTTTTTCATTATACAAAACATTTATGTTTCTTGATTTTAAACTCTTTAAAATTTCTTTGTATAGTTTGGATCCATAAGCCGTATAACTACTTTCGTATATTAAAAAAAGACATTAAATGCAAGTAGCTCCTAATGAAAAATGGTTCAAAAAAATTTAAAGGTTTAGTTGTTGCAAATATGTCGAATAATTCCAAAAAGTTTCTAAGGAAAATATAAATTCTTTAAAAACTAGTCTAAAAAACCTCATTTTAGATACAAGCAACTATATGGAAATTTCTAATATTTTATGACTAATTTAAAATTAAAAAACAAGCAAAAAAAAATAAAAAACTTTAACATATAAGCAAGTATGTATATAATATATTTGTTATGTCTATGTTATACTTCAATAAATGCATGTGTATATATGTTATGTTTATGTTATGCTTTAATATATGTCATTTAATATGCTTTAATATATGTCATTTAAGTCATGAATATAAAAATTAAGAGTATCTCATGAAATTGTTTAAAAAAGGGTTCTCGATAACTAGACTTCACACAGGTTTCTGCAAGTTTCCCTTGAATACACAACTTAAGATTGTTTTTTTTAGTACCTTGTTTTTTAAAGATATAAATTGTAATCATATTTTACTATATTATATTGGTTTGTACATCAAATATATATTAATATTATTTTAACTATATTATAAGTAAAGTATATTATTTTTGAATGTATTTATAATAAAAGTAGCGTATATTGTTTAAACTATGTAGTTGTAAAAATGAATAGAAAAAAAACAACAACTGACAAAGGATAACTTTGCTAACTCAGGTAAAAAAAAAAAGGATATTTTTGTGAACATTAGAAAAATAATTTTGTGACTCAGGTCACAAAAAGTTAGTTATTTAGGACAATATCTAAAATGAAGTTTTTAAACAAAACGGCGGTGATCATGACTCAATATATTAAAAAACATTGAGCATAAAACTAAAACCATTGACATTTTTTTTTTTTCAGCAATCAAAAATAGTAAAACTACATAAGTGATAAAAGTCTTTATAAGTTTAGTCCATTACAAAAAGGATGTACATTTGTACTAATCTTTAAAAATAAAGTTTATTGTGAATACTTTAACTGCTAGTTGAGCATTTTAATGAATAGAACAAATATTTGTTTCTAATGTAAAAATCTTTTTTACGAGTAATAATAAAACGAGTTTTTAATGTAACAATTTTCTGGTGTAAAAACACAAGTTTAGAAGTTATTAATCAATAAATAAATATTTTTCATAAAATTATCATATAAATTAAAATTTTATCACTCCTAAAATATGTGAAAATAAACTAAAAAAATTATCTGATACAAATAAATAAACATTAAATCTAAGTTTTTTAAATTTTTTTAAGTCTAAATATTTTTTAAACTTGTTTAGAAAACACGATTACTTTGTTTGCGCATTCAATGAAAACAGACTTTTCAAAACATTTCTTTATAATGACAAATATACATTAACATTAAAGTTTCTTAAACGCAATTAAATCCGCCTTTTGGAAAAGGACATTACTGCCGTCCTAAGAAAAAACGCAGTAATCGCAAAAATTGAAAAATCGAGATTATTGCACCAAACGTTTTAACATCGTTTTCTGTGTAATAACGCTCTATATAAAAATATTGTGGTATATTCCGAAGTCATCAAACCCATAGTTCATTTTGCCGTAAGTTAAAAAAATATATACACACAAAATTTAAAAGTGGCTTTTTCTCAGAATGTCATTTTTGTTGTTTACTGCGTTTTTACTTAGGGCGGCAGATTAGTTCGTTAATAAAAAATTGTCAAGATCTACAAAAATATATTTGAAACTCATATAATGCATGTCAAAAAAAACTCATATAATGCATGTCAAAACGCATATAACGTATGACAAAGTTCATATAATGTATGTCAAACGAAAGTTAACAAAGAAAATACACCCTAATCTTAATTAGATTAACCAAATTTTTTTTCTTTTTTCTGATTATATAACAAATTTTAAGTAAAGCTTCATTCCATAAAAATAAAATATAAATTTTCAATAGCAATTACAAACTGAAGCTTCACATTTTTTATTACAATATAAACAAAAGGGATTCAAAGAAAATATGGATGATAAAACTATCAATAGGACAGTCCCGAAGAAATCATAAAGGTTGGGGGAGGGGGGCGACTAATTAATTTTTTTAGGGGTTTAAACACCCACTACGCCCGCCCCCTCCTCGGGACAGCCCTGACTACCAACGCAACCTTTTAGTCCCTAAAAGCAACTTTTAAATTAAATCAAATATAATATCATGACTTGTTTTAAATACAAGATTTATATACAGATCAAATAAAAGTTTATAAATTATTATACAAACAAAAGGTAATTAGCTATTATTGAGGAAAAAAAATAAAATAAAGACACCTTTGCAGTAAAGATTTCAAATTTAATGGAAGTAGAAAATAAATTGAAAATAAAAATTAAAATACATGGTTGTATGATACATGATTTATATATAACTTTTTAATGTAAACATAGTATATCGTGTCAATTAGTTTAAGTGACTAAAAATACACAAGCTTAGCCTACTTAAAAAACACTTCGATGATTTTTTATTATACTTAGCTTCAATAAGTTTACTCATAAGTTTACTAAACTTTGCATAGGTTTTTAAGTTTTTTCAAGAAATGTCTACCAGACATTTTCCAACGAATTTCGCCTTTTAAACCTCATGTACTTGGTTTGTTTAATTTTTTTTTCAACAGATTTTTTTAAAGGTAACAATGTAAACTTGATTGCATTTTTTAATTTTTTTTTTTTTTTTTGAAAATTTTTTTTTTTTAAACAAAACAGTTATTTGTACATAAGACTGTGGAAACCAATAAAAATCCATTATCATTTTATCTATTGTAACAAAGGTAAATCTCTTCACGTTCTTTTTATTGCTACAGTGTCAAACAAAATCAACTGATTTAAAACAAAAGGTTGGTTCCGCTGTTTTAATTTGCAATTATGTGATACCTTCGGTCTCGCGTAACAACTAATTAAAATAGCGCACTCGTTATAATTTCCTAATTCAAATTATTGTTATTAATAATAAAATAAAATAACTAAAAATAAATAATAAACAACAAATAAATAAACAATGTTTTGAGCGGGTAAAAACTTTCATCATTGTTTATATCACCATCCCTGTTTGTCATTGTTTATATCACCATCCCTTAACTTTGACAATACATCTATTTCATAAAAAAAAAAAAAAAAAAAAAAAAAACTTTACCTGTAAAAACAAATTTATCCTAAAATGGTCAGTAATTAGTCAAAAGTGATCTAAAAATGGATAAAACGTTTTACATCCCACAATTGACTAAAAATAGACGGTTGATTGAAATCTAAATTTTAATCTATTTAATGCATAGGTATTTTAAACGTTAATTAAGCGTTTAATATATTGACTTACGTAAATCAATATTGTAAACGTTTATTAAACGTTTAACACACACACACATTAAAAAAATTAAATCATACGTAGATAAACCATTTAATGTATACCTTTACGAAATTTTGATTAAACGTTTAGAATATTCAATATTGAGTAATAATAGTCAATATTGTAAACCTTTAATAAACGTTTACATTAAAAGAATTGAAGCGAACAACCCAATTTACATAAATTATATATATAAAGTTTGCATATTTTTTGATGATTTTCTTTGAAAGTAATAACATTTAAACTTGAATTTTGAAATCAATAAGTTTTAAATATTTCTATTTTATAAATTAAGGCAGAAACGGTTTTGAGTAAAAGAGAGTGAGAGAGAGAGAGAGAGGTGTGTGTGTCAGGGGTGGGATAGGGGACTGGAGGCATTCACATTTGTTAGAAACTCGACATTTAATATTTGCTTATATACATGACTTTTATAAATATTTTTTTATTGGTATATGTTTTGGTAACGTTGGCATTTGATTGCAAAACGCGTTGTTTGTAAAAAAAAGTATTGCATTAGAAGTAATCGCGTACTTTTTACGATAGTTCGTTAAATAAAGTTTTAAATAAATCAATCTAATCGTTGCTAGATATATTCGTCTGATATATGTTTAATTACATTAAATCTTTAAACTTTATATACGTTTAATATACGTCTTATATACGTCTGATTTATACTTAATAAAAACTAAATTAAAATGCTTTATATACGTTTTATAAAATAACAATGATAGAATTTAAACACTTTTAAATATGTTTAAAAGTATTAATTATAGACGTTTATTATACGTTTAGAAAAGGTATAACTAAACGCTTTTTCTATTTTTAATCATACTATTATAAACGCCTAAAATGGGAGATTTATTCTGAACGTTAACAACCTGTACGTTAAATCGACCAAACTGCGACGTTCAACAGACGCTCGTGTTTTTATTGGGTTATTGGTCTGTATTTTGCCTCTTCAGTTAAAAAACTGCTTTTTTAGTTATTTAAAACTGCTTTTTTAGTTTTTAGATTCTTAAAAATTAAAGGCAAAAATAAAACAGGAAATACACCATTAATAATGTCATTTTTTTCATAAACCAATATTTTGTCTGCATAACAAAAATATTTTTGCAAATAATATACATCCTAAACATTCTTTAAATCACGGAGGGGTTTTAAATATTTAGTGAAATAATATTTATTCAAAACTTTATTACACTTAAGAATTTAAAAACATTTAACCGATTCCTCCTTAGCATTTATCTTTATAAAAATAATTTGCTTTGTTTATGATTCTAATTCCTATATTGTTATAAATGAAACTATGGCAGACGAACGAGATGTTTGGCAAAATGAATATAACTAGAGATGTAGATCTATTTATGATATATCTAGATTTTTTTTAATAAAAAAAAAGGTCCTTTAGAAAAAAAGTAGGGGGGGGGAGAGAGAAAAAGTGTCCCCGTCCCCCGGTGTTGTTGGCTCTGAGATCTATCTATGTGCAACTATATTAAAACAATCTCAGTGAAAAAAAATTATTTCAACGTCTTTATCAAACAGCTTAGAGAATATTACTGATTAAAATTTTTTCAATTTTTCCATTTTAAGACAGAAAGGATTAGAAAAGAAAACATGAAAATTCAAATAAAATTCTTGCGCCTTTTCTTTTATATCTTTGACTAATTTAGCTATGTTTGCATAGCAACGTAACCATTTTGTACAAACTTTGTATTTGTCTTCATAATATTAGCATATTTATATTTGTTTGTTTCTTTTTAATTGTTACAAAGAGTTTTCATTGAGGCTTCAGACATTTTCAGCTATTTAATAACTTTAGTATATTTTATTATAAAGTATGTCGTTTTTATGCACTTCAAAGAAGAAAGAAAAAAAAGGTTTATTTTTTGAAGTTTTTTTTTTTTTATTACCAATTATTATTTAGTTATTATTTTAATTATATATCAACGAAGTAAAACTTGAAGATTAGGTAAAAATTAATCCAAAATAACAAAAGTGTCTAAGTTTTAAGTTCTTTATTTTCACTAAGTATTAATAATTTTAAAACTTGACTGTTAAGTATTATTAATTTTAATATTACAAAAATCCAATAAGAAACGGTTTCTCAACAATTAAAATCAAGTTATTGAAATACGACAAAAATATAGTTATTGAAATATGACGAAAATACAAAACTAGCCTGCTTGAGACCTACAAATGCACAATATTAAAACCTTCCCCGACACTAAATGCCAACACTAAAAGACCTAGATGTTTTTGCTTGTTAACCAACAATATAATCTAAAATAAATTTTATTTTATTTAATGCTCTGATTGTATTTTAATTAAAATACTAAATAAATTATAAATCTTAATAACCTTTTTTAAAAAACAATTTTTTTTTTTAAATAACATTTCAGTTTTTTTTAATAACTTTTTGTTAAAACATTGTTAAATTATTTTTTTTTAGCAAATAAAAAAGATACAGAGGCATATAAAACATTGTTAAATTATTTTTTTTTAGCAAATAAAAAAGATACAGAGGCATATAAAACATTGTTAAATTATTTTTTTTTAGCAAATAAAAAAGATACAGAGGCATATAAAACATTGTTAAATTATTTTTTTTAGCAAATAAAAAAGATACAGAGGCATATAAAACATTGTTAAATTATTTTTTTTTTAGCAAATAAAAAAGATACAGAGGCATATAAAACATTGTTAAATTATTTTTTTTTTAGCAAATAAATAAGATACAGAGGCATATAAAACATTGTTAAATTATTTTTTTTTTAGCAAATAAAAAAGATACAGAGGCATATAAAACATTGTTAAATTATTTTTTTTTAGCAAATAAATAAGATACAGAGGCATATAAAACATTGTTAAATTATTTTTTTTTTAGCAAATAAAAAAGATACAGAGGCATATAAAACATTGTTAAATTATTTTTTTTTAGCAAATAAAAAAGATACAGAGGCATATAAAACATTGTTAAATTATTTTTTTTTTAGCAAATAAAAAAGATACAGAGGCATATAAAACATTGTTAAATTATTTTTTTTTAGCAAATAAAAAAGATACAGAGGCATATAAAACATTGTTAAATTATTTTTTTTTTAGCAAATAAAAAAGATACAGAGGCATATAAAACATTGTTAAATTATTTTTTTTTTAGCAAATAAAAAAGATACAGAGGCATATAAAACATTGTTAAATTATTTTTTTTTAGCAAATAAATAAGATACAGAGGCATATAAAACATTGTTAAATTATTTTTTTTTTAGCAAATAAAAAAGATACAGAGGCATATAAAACATTGTTAAATTATTTTTTTTTAGCAAATAAAAAAGATACAGAGGCATATAAAAGAACGACAGATTATGATCATTTACAGAATTTTTTCCACCAGGAAGAGGTAATCGACGAAGATATTAAGTTTCCGTCGTATAGTTTTCCATTGCCACAAACCTATCATAACATCCAAGCTGTGCTACCTGGGCAATTGAGATCACCCGAGAATAGCCAAGAAAAATATTTAGAAGTTATAAAAAGTTTTTTTCCAACTTTAGCGACAGAAATATCAGTAAAGCGAGGCGATATTGTATTGTGGATTAATAGCGATGGAGATTGGGTTTTAATTCAAACGCAATATGGAGACGAGGGATATGTTCCAAGATCATATTGTCGCGTCGTATTTCAAAACGCAATTCTAAAACAAAACTACTATTTTAAGGATAACACGTCATCATACGGCTCGAATCAGTTTTATGAATACGAAACACCGTATCATACGAGACCAAGACAGTTTACGCATTTTGTTGAAGATCGCTTTAGTCCTAGAACACATTTGAACTCTTTAGATACCAGTTCATCAAGTAGTGAAACAAGCTCTTATTGGAACGTTACAGAGAGATTTGATAGCCTAAGAAGCAATGAATCGATTTCAAGCTGGTCATCGAGTTCTTATAAACCAGTGTGCGGACGTAAATGTGGTAAAAAATGCGAGCACCAGAGACTAATTAACAATAAAAGTCAGTGCAAGTTAAGACCTCAAGTTCTTCACACTCCAAAAGAAGAAAAAACGAACAAAAATAATAATTTTTTCTTCGAAAAATCCGATCAAGAACACGACGGAAGCAGCTGCAGTGACTATACATCAATAAAAAGCTGTCTTTTATCGTGCGGTCATCCGGAACTCATTGTTATAGAGAGTTACGAAAAACAAGGAAACACTGATATCTCAGTTGTTTCAGGCGATTTTGCATCAATAATTAACGATACAAAATATGAAGACTGGATATACATCCGAAATGAATCAGGAGAGAGGGGGTTTGTTCCTACGCAATGCGTATTAAAGCATCAATGCGAAGGTTAAAAATATTTTATTTGAATGTAAACTTTTAAAATTGCTATTTTTATAATTAAATATATTTAAAAAGTACAATTAAAAAACTGTGTATTTAACTGTGCAAATTAAATGTATTAAGTTTTGAAATTGAATTTTTTTTAGAATGTGGGTTTGAAAGAAACTATTTAAAAGAAAAACAGTCTATAAATCGATCTGATAGAGAAATTTACAGTAAAAGAAGTTTTAATGTTGTTGGCAATAGCGATCAAACAAATAAATATAATGAAAAAGAAGAAGAAAATCAAAATAACAAAACACGTACTGTTGACACTAATAACGATAATACAAAAAAAACTCGAGAAAAAGAAAAACATTTTAGTAGCATTACTGATGTAGGTAATAACCAAGATTATACAAACAAGTCATCTGAAAGCGAGATTGCCAATCCAGCCAAAATTCAATCCAAATTGCCAATCAAAACCAATAGGCCAAAATTAACAGATAATGACATTAAGAAAATGAATAAAATGATAGTTATTTCTAACTTTGCAGGGAGCCATCTTGAAGATTTGTACGTTTGCATCGGAGATTTTGTTTACGTCGATAAAACAACTGACATGACGCAAAATTTGATATGGGTTCACTCTATTAAACAGAACCTTTCAGGTTACGTTCCTAGTACAGTTATTAGAGCAGTAGAAGATATTGACGTAAAAGCGGATGTTTAAGGGCATGGGAACTAAATAAAGATTACACTTAAAAACAAAAATTGAATTACTGTTTTTTACGCTTTAACGCATTTTTTTATTGTTGTCATTTTTAAAAAATGTTAACTTTCAGAAATTATGATGGTTAATTCAAACGTTTTGTTCTTAACAACACAGTCGGTGTTGGCTGTCGGTTAAATGTTAAAAATATTTTCACATAAACAAAGTGTTTTGTCGATACACACAGTTTCAAGTTAAACAAATTTTTTATATCGCTTTCAGGTATGAATTTATTGTTTAAATATGTACACAAAGTATACACTAGTTAGTCTTTTTTGTTCGCTGTTTACGTCAACATTGATCTAAATGTAAAAAGTGATAAACTTAACATTTACTTACAATATTATAACTAATTACAAAATAAAAAAATAATTTTCTTTGCGTCGCTCTGAATAAAAGGAGTAACTACGTGTGACTTGAACATTTTTTTAATACTTGAGAATATAAAATATTTATTAAATAAAATTTGAAAGTATTATTAATATATAACAAATTTTTATGAAGAGATTTTTTAATTGGCGTTTTATTTAATCTTTACAAGTATTTGCGTGCAATTAAACTGCGTGCAATTAAATTGTGTGCAATTAAACTGCGTGCAATTAAATTGCGTGCAATTAAACTGCGTGCAATTAAATTGCGTGCAATTAAACTGTTTCTATTATATGTAATAAATTCATTGTTTTTATTAACAAAAAATTATTTTATAAAGTGAATTTCAGCAGTGTAATTATAACCAACCAAACATTTTTGTCTTCTTTTCTTTATTTTAAATAAAATCAATTAAAACAACATTTATATTTATTATCTTTATTATTTTGAAATCCTTCATTTTTATTAAAACTATGACTTTTTGCGTTGACTTTTTTATGAACGTTCTATTTGTTTGTATTTTATATTTCATAACATTGCTTTAAAAAACTGTTCTCAACCTCAAAAAATAAATAAGTAAAACATGCTGCTCTATCGACCGACAATCAGTTAGAACATGCGAGAAGTGCTGGCTCATTGACTCAGAGTTTGGTTTAAAGAGGCAAGCAATAAGTTTAAAAAAAACATTTTAAAGTTTTTGAATCTTTTCCAGTCTTTTAAATAAATTTACGACCAACGACCAAGCAAGAGTGTGTGTAGGGAAAAGGCGCCTATGATGACATAGCGCCTATGATGGCATACCGGTCATATTTTCATATATATTGGTTATGGCAAAAAAGTGATTAGACCAACATGTTTATACTGAATTTACATTTATTTTAGTAAAAATACGTCCCTTATGCACAAATATTGTTTTTATAATCAACAAAAATTGATTTTGGGATGTGCTGTTGTATTTTTAATCCCTTTATATATTTTAAATTGTGATTTTGTTATTAACTGTGCAGAAATGAAATTCTCATGTAATTTATCTCCAAGTTTTGTGCATTTAGTGGAATACTTATTTTAGTTTTATCTTTTGAACAAGGCGGACAGGCTTGTAAGAACAAGGTAGACATAGCTTGTTAAAATTAAAATGATGACTTCTTTCTATGATGGCATACTGACGAGTTAGGTGTGTTGCAATATTGACGAGTTGAGAAAACCTTTTTTTTTTCTTTATAAAAACAACATATTTATTAGTGAAGTAAAAAGGAATTTTTACTTCAGTAAAAAATTTTTGGTTTAAAAAACACATAAAACGCAATATCTCTTGTGCGCATGCGCAAAATTCTACACTGCTGCTGCTGTGTAGCACGAAAGGGTCAGTTAGGATGATTACGCGTAATTTCTGGCATTTCTGAGGCATGACTCTAAGGTCAAATGGAATCATTAAGTTATCCTTGATGCTAACCAGCCCCATCCTCCCCTATGCCATCATAAGAGCAGTAGTTGCCTATGATGGCATACTTGTGCTTTTTTTTTTTTTTTTAAATAAAAATAACTAATAAAAAAATAAAATTGATAAAAACTCCTGGGGTTATTATTGTTCTACATGTAACAGAGAATGTACCCAATTCAAAACTTTTGTTCTTACACAACAACACAACATAGAATACAATACAAACAACATAACCAAGCTGTCCAGTTTGGGTATTATTGCACTCTTTCCCTTGACAAACTAGACAAAACCATTCCTCTTCATTGTTTACATCTTTTTAAATCAAGCATTTCGTTAATTTTCTTTTCTTTTTGTTCTTTTTTATATTTTTCTTATTTAATTTATTGTCATTGTTCTTTACCAGTGAAATTTTTTTTTTTATTGTTCTTTTTTTTTTATTTTATTGTTTTTTTCTCATTGTTCTTTTCAAGTAAAATTTTTTTCCTATATAGAGAACTAGTTGTAATCTGTGATTTTTCAGTTAATTTTCTTTTGGAGGATAAAGTTTTGGAATTTGAAGTTTGTCTTCAAAAGAACTTGATAAAGTAACAGTGGTTATAGGGATAGCAAAAACAATTCATTGTCACTAGCATAGTCTATAAGATTTAAGCTTTTGGTATGAGAACGATGACCGTCAAATATAAGTAAAACTTAGTTGATCAAAGTGCATCGCATATGTTTAACAAAATGTTGTATATATTCAAGAATTAAATCAGTAATCCAGCCATTTTCTGACCTTGAATAGTTTGGTCACTAAACTACAACAAAGTTATGTTATATTCTTTTAAAGTTTCTAATAAAATTATGTTTTACTTTTACATAAAATTCTTTCATAAAATGATGATAGCAAGTTAAACTTGCTAAGTTCATAAACTTGCTATCGTAAACGTTTACTTTGACGATCTCTTTCAGTAACTAGCGTTGTCGCATTTTCCCCGTAAATGTGAAGTTATATATTTCTTAAATATCTTTAAAACAAAATAAGAATGGCAGCTGAAAGATAACAAATAAATAATTACAAACTTAATATTATATTAGTTCTGTGGTAAAAAATGGCAGCTTACGTGGATTTTTTTCACAAAAAAAAAAAAACTAATTTTGATTTTTTAATCGAATTGACGCAACTCGTAAGCTTTAAACCCACTTTTCTATATCATATTATAAGAAAAAACTGATCGAAACTACTTTAAAACATCCAAAAAAAAAAAATTAAAATTTTTAATATAACAAACTAAAATTTGAAAACTGTAGCATTTCAAAAAAAATCTGTACTATGCTAGAAAGCCTAAATGTCTCACTTTGCCCCGGTGTCTCGAATTGCCCCAGGTTACCCTATATATTATATATATTTATAATTTACTACCTCATATTTATGTACTGTCTATACTTGTAGTTTATAATTCTGCTTTGTCGCCAGCAACGCAGGATCGATTCCTCTTGAGCGCACATGTTTTTATGTGTACTTTTATGTTATATTTTAAAGTATTTATTTTAAAGTATTATCTATTTTTATGCGTTATGTCTATGATTGTTATTACTAAAAAGTTATATCGTTTATAAAATTTTATTTTTATAAAAATTAGGAAGTGTTCACAGATTGACTGACTTAAACATGTAGAACAGGCAAGGAGTATACATACATCATCTGACTATATAGGTAGAACATGCAGGAAATGTACATACATCGACTAGCTTAAATATGTAAATTATGCAGGGAATGTACATACATCGACTGACTAAATAGGTAAAACATGCAGGGTGTGTACAAACATCGACTAAGGATCTCGGTTTTGGGAAGGCAATAAATTAAAAAAACAGTTTGTGTTAGAAAGTGTTTAAAATTCAAAGCAAACACTTATTTTGTTTATTTTGGTCATCTAATTACACAAAAATTCTAACGTCGGAATAGGTTTTTGATTCTATCATCTACCCAAATGCTGCTAGAAATTTTACAAATATGTGAAGTTGTGCTAGGGTTTTGTATATCTAAAGTGGTTTTACACGTTTTACTTTAAAATAATACTTAATCACTGTATATATGTATGTATAAACACTGTATATATATACGCCGATGTATGTAAAAAACTAAATAGTTGAAGTAGTTAACATTATAAAAAGCCAGTTTGTAAAAAAATATTTTTTCACTTCACCTGCTTTTATCAAATTAATTTACAAAGCCTAAAAAAAAGTAGTTGCGTATTTTAGCATTAAAAAACGCGATGATAATCAGTTTGTCACGGTTTTGGCATAATGCGATGAGGCCAGGTCCGGCCCAAATACATAATTACCATTGGCATGATGAGCATTGATGAACGACACTAATCTTCCTTAATACAATCCATTTCATTGATGGCTTTATTGACAGCAAAACCGCTGGGAACAAAAAATGACTTGGAAATACCTTTGTCAGAAGCGGCCAATCAGTCGAGCAACTTGGGTTTGAACTTACACTTTTTTGACACTTAACGCTTCTAAAAAAATAGACAAAAACTGTATAAAAATATATATATATATATATATATATATATATATATATATATATATATATATATATATATATACATTATAGTATATATATATGTATATATATATATATATATATATATATATATATATATATATATATATATATATATATATATACATTTTTTTATATATAAAACTACATATTTTTCACAACTATAAGTTTCATGCTAAATGCAATCATTAGGTGTGAATATATATGACCATAGGCGGATCTAGGATTTTACATAGCTAAAATTTGAAAAAATTACGTCATAATTGCAAGTATCAAATAAGTCGGTTAGTCTATGTCAAAAAGACGTCCGATAATTACGTCAAACAGACGCTGCCAGACAGTTTTTTTTATCTGAGTGTCTTTAATTAAAGGGTTGTACAGCTTCTGCGTCGTTTACCTAGTTTAGTTTTCACATATATTTTTTTTCTACACATATATTTTTTATTTATTTCTAAAGGATTCTAGTAAAATAATTAATGGTAAAACATAAAATTTGCCCTGGCTATTCTGTTCGTAATTTAGACATACAATGTCTAACTTACTTAACAAAGTGCACCAACTAGAAGGTAAGCCATAGGACTTTGCACTCCATGTGTAAGTCGTAAAGCTACCTAAAGTTAGCTTTTCATTTCTAAATTCTTTCCTATTCTTAAAACACGTCAATGTAAAAGTATTGTTGTTGTTGACAAAAAACCCTTCATTTCTGGGTTCTTTTCTTTATATTTTTGTTACTAATAGAATAACTGCAACTATTACTGCATTAACAATATAATAATATCGTGATATACTCAAAAGATATTTACTTTAAAATTGTATACTACTATATATAAATATATATTGGAAAAAAAAAAGATTTGAACAGACTCACGATCTATAGGATCCTCAGGAAGCTAATTTATTGTATCTTTGTTTTTTATGATTATCAAGCACTCTTTTTGTTGCATACACAACACACATATCTAAATTTTTTTTTTAGTGGTTTACATTGTTTAGTTTAGAACACTTTTTAAAACATTTAACATTTTAGATGTTAAAGATTATGAAATGTACACAAAATAGAAAATAAATTTACTTATTAAACATTTAAAAAAAAATAAAAAATAAGATGCTCTATAAGAAAATTATAAAAACGTTTTCCCTAAAAAATGATAGTAAATATAAGAGATAACAATTATTATTCAATCATAACCAACTATTTAAAGCTTAAATATCAACTTTAAACATCTCTCACCAGAAGCTGAAAAAATGTTGTTAACCCTGTCTTTACCTAGAACCATTTCTGTATAAATTAACACTAAGGCTAATAATCACCTTTTTAACACTCTACTTCTTGAATAAGGGTTTAATCTTTTGGTACCTAGACTTAAATCTTTAA